TGTTCATTTTTTAAATATATAAACATATGTATTAATATATTTTTAATCTCACGACAGAAAAACATTATGGTTTTCCAGTTGCAAAACTAGGTCCTGTTTCTACCTATATCCATGTGACAGAAAATCACGTTCTGCCTCTCTCCTCTCTTTCTCCTCTGTTTTCTGTCTCTCATTCTTTTTTTTTTTTTTTTTTCCTTTTGAAACAGTCTTGCTCTGTCTCCCAGGCTGGAGTGCAGTGGCACAATCTCAGCTCACTGCAACCTCCACCTCTTGGGTTCAAATGATTCTCGTGTCTCAGCCTCCTGTATAGCTGGGATTACAGGCATGGACCACCACGCCCAGCTAGCTTTCATAGTTTTAGTAGAGATGAGGTTTCGTCGTGTTGGCCAGGCTGGTCTCAAACTCCTGGACTCAGGTGATCTGCCCACCTCAGCCTCCCAAAATGCTGGATTACAGGTGTGAGCCACCAGGCCCAGCCCTCTTTCTCACTCAAGGACTATCGGTAAGTGAAACTCCACCCAGCCAGAGAGCCCAGAGCCAGTTGTCTACATAAAAGATGGGTGGCATATTGATGGAAAGTTTTGTTCTAAAAGTTTTTGGGGTTTGTTGTGATTGGTGTGATTAACAGCCCAACTGTTTTTAAAGCATCTCAAGCAAGAACTGGTTTCCAAATTTCTGAGGATTTCTGTTAATCTCTAGAGTGTGTGTGTGTCTGTCTGTCTTATTTTGCTCCAAGCACAGGTAAGTGCCAGGGCATTGGAGTGGTATACATTTTATCAGAACATAGAAGAAAATCACTTCTGCTCAGAGTAACTTTGTTAGTGTTTCTTTCCAGCTTGGAAACTTGGTTACTTTCTAATTATAGGCTGTTGCTGGGGAGGTTGTGAACTAAAACCAGTGCTATAGGACTCCAAGCTGTTCTGTTCCCTTGAACATGAGCAACAGGAACAGGTGAAAAGCGAATTTGGAATTGCTTGAGTTAGCCCTGGATTTTTCATTGTTCTTCTTCCTGGACTTTATGCACTCAACCTAACTATTTACTTGTCTAGAGGAAAGTAGAAAAAGCTTGACATGAATTGTATTATATGCTTCACTTCATGAATTATTATTTTAATAAGTATTTTAGAATGAACTGAGTAGGAGCCCTTTGATGCTTTGCTGCCAGCCAACCCTCTCCCATTTACAGAGTATGCAAAGGAATTTCCTTAAATTTCAATCCTCCATTTGAGTTCTTTGTGTTGATTGATTTGATCTTTTCTTTTTCCTTTTTTTTTTTTTTTAGATGGAGTTTCACTCTCACTCAGGCTGGAGTGCAGTGGTGCAATCTCGGCTCACTGCAGCCTCTGCCTCCTGGGTTCAAGCGAGTCTCCTGCCTCAGCCTCCTGAGTAGCTGGGATTACAGGCACATGCCACCATGCCCAGCTAATTTTTGTATTTTTAGTAGAGACAGGGTTTCACCATATTGGCCAGGATGGTCTCAATCTCCTGACCTCGTGATCCGCCCACCTCAGCCTCTCCAAGTGGTAGGATTACAGGCGTGAGCCACGGTGCCCAGCAATCTTTGCTTTTCTTTACGGCTCAGAAGAAACATTTGGGTAGGTTATAGGTCAAAGTCAAGGCTTTGTAAAAGGGTTTGTTACATTCAGGAGCCTTACCCCAATTTCATTCGTTCATTTTTAAATATCAGTTTTTTAATTCATCAAGGAATACATGGAATACATCAGGGAATACATCAATACACCAAGGAATTCATCAAGGAATACATTTATTTTCATATTTTTTTCAAATACAAAGAACACATTTGAAAAAAATATGAAAATAAAAATAAGCAAATGGAAATAAACTCCTCATCCTACTATACTGTAGTCTTCGGTATAATTTCTCAATTTCTCTAAGTATCTTTTTATTTTTAATTGACAGGATCTCACTCTGTTACCCAGGCTAGAGTGTCATGACGCAGTCACACCTCACTGCACGCTGACCTCCTGAGCTCAGGTGATCCTCCCACCTCAGCTTCCCAAGTAGTGGGTATTACAGGTGTGGACCACCACACCTGGCTAATTTTTGTTGGTTTTTTTTTTTGGTAGAGATGGGGTTTCACTATGCTGTCTAGGATGGTCTCAAACTCCTGGGCTCAAGCAATCCACCTACCACCTCAGCTTCCCAAAGTGCTGGGATTACAGACATAAGCTACCACACTGGCCTAGAATCTTTTGTGGTGCTGGGATTAGATGTATTAATCTGTAAGAGTTTTAAGGCCTCTTCATTCACTCTCCACTTATTACCACCTGCTGAAGGGAATTGTAGTTTTGCCTTATCAGATTCTTTTTTTCCTCAGGCATATAAGGAAATTTTTGTCTTTCCCAGACCAATTCTGGGGTTATCTCCAAAGATAGGGAATAATCCAGATAAAATAAAATAGAAAGGAAAGTGAAAAGAGGCCAAGTAGGCTCAGATAACAGAACCAAGAGGGAGGAGAAGAGGGCAGACAGAATGCCATGTGTACTGGGTATTAGGGAAGCTTGGGACACTGGGGTGGTACAGACTGGCACAAGAGGATCTGGAGGATGACCAGAAAACCAGGGTTTGGATTGGAGAAGGAACAGCTTCACTGTGGTTCATGAATTGAAATTCCTTTAATGTTTTTGGAGAGATGGGACAAGTAGAGATGGATTTCTGTGGTTGGCCTGTGCCAAGTGGGGGTTGTGGATTGGAGAGCAGCTGCTTTTATATTTTTGTATTTCCTTTTTTATATTTTTATTTCTGATTATGAAATAATATACTAATTGTAGAAATTTCTTTTTTTTTTTTGAGACAGAGTCTCCCTCTGTCACCCAGGCTGGAGTGCAGTGGCGGAATCTTGGCTCACTGCAACCTCCACTTCCCGGGTTCAAGTGATTCTCTTGCTTGAGCCTCCTGAGTAACTGGGATTACAAGTACCCAACACCAGGACCGGCTAATTTTTGCATTTTTAGTAGAGGTGGGGTTTCACCATGTTGGCCGGCTGGTCTTGAACTCTTGACCTCAGATGATCCACCTGTCTAGGCCTTTCAAAGTGCTAGGATTACAGGCATGAGCCACCTCACCTGGCATAAATTTATTCTTCATAATGTGTTTCCTCTGTTATAAATAGTAGTGTAATTGCTATCACATAACAAAGACCTTTGTTATATAAGAATGAATCCGGAACTGTGTGCTTGAAAATCTGCACTGATAACTCACTCATCTCCTAATGATACTTTGGGCATTTTGAAAGACTTATAATGAACTCTCTGTGTGAGGAGTCATAAACTCAAATACCTCCACGGGGCAGGCAGGTTATGTAAGAGAGTGATTCAGGCCAGCTATTAGAAAAACAATGATTAGGCTCGATACAGTGGCTCATGCCTATAATCCTAGCATTTTGGGAGGCCAAGGTGGGCAGATCAGTTGAGGCCAGGAGTTCAAGACCAGCCTGGCCAACATGGCAAAACTCCATCTCTATTAAAATACAAAAAATTAGCCGGACGTGGTGGCGTGCACCTGTAATCCCAGCTACTCAGGAGGGTGAGGCATGAGAATTGCTTGAACCTAGGAGACGGAGGTTGTGGTTAGCCAAGATCATGCCACTGCATTCCAGCCTGGGTGACGGAGCAAGACTATGTCTCAAAGAAAAAAAAAAAAAAGGAAAAACGATGATTAGTAGCCCCTCACTTTGGGCCTCTATGTCCATGATGCAGCAGAGAGCATTGTGGACTGGGGCTCAAGGAAGAGCATTTATTCTGTCTGAATGAAAAGGCACTCAAGCCAGCTGTTGACATGTGGGAAAGTGGGCCTAACACTGTTAGATTTTCTTGTTTTAGGAGAATAAGAAATCCCAAGTTTTATGGACTTTTTAACACATGAGTTTCAAGTAAAAATTTATAAAAACACTGTACAGGCCAGACAAAAGTGTGATTGTAGACTGAATCTGGCCCATGGAGGCCATTATGTGGCCTGCAGTCTACATTCATCCATTATGGACTTCCATGAGGATTTAAATAAATCCTTAACACAGCCTGCTGTGCACTAGAGCCCAGGGTGTGTGGAAGCTAAACACAGTCCCTTCAGGAGTTTTAGTCTTCAAAATTGTGAGCCTCTAATGAGATATGGACTACTTTGATGGGAACTGCCTGGGTGTGATCTCAGGTCCACCTTTTTTTTTTTTTTTTTTTTTTT